AAACGAATACGGCTTAGGAAAACATAAGTGGATGGACTGTAAGCATGTATTGTGCAGGTAACACTTCGTTAATGTAAAAAAAAAGTGGAACTGCACCGATGGGATCATGGGAGTTCTTATGTTCCATTATTAAAGCTACGGTCTACATTCATCGAGGTATTTTCCGGGGTTATTTAAGATGCACACCCAACGACGCACGCTGATTTGTTTACGAATGACCCGCTTCCAGTATCAGTAGGTGAGAGGGAGTCAAACAGAACTGGCGAAATCCGCCAGTTTCGTGATTTAGTTCGGTTGGGAAACAACCCTCGGCGACTTCGCGATAATTTCGTGAGGTTGGGTTGGGGAGGGGATTGGCGAAATTAATTAGCCAATCATGAGCAGGGAAATTACAGGCGGGGGTTGTGTTGTCACAAACTCGGAAACACACCTCGCCACTGAAGCGGAAGGCTACCTGGTTTTCAAGTGATAAACCAGAGACTCTCCCGCCAGGTATGTAGACGACAGCTTTAAAGCCACGGTGCAGATATCTTAGGAACAGTGACAAACAGTTTTTTGTCTTGTTCCTTCCTGGTCGCCAATTGGCTAGCGAGAGAGTAGATTGTGTTGCGATGAAGAGAAAAAGGAAACAACTGAGGCGAACGTCGCCAACTTCGAAAGTGAGGGGGAAGGGGAAGGGGTGGGGGGAGGGAAGGGGGAAACACACACGACAACGCGAAAATCGGAAACCATGAATACACCGTCATCTCTACATTGCATAACGAAAGAGTTTGTATTTCAAATAAGCTCAGTACCACACAAATATAATATTATGCGACTCAAAGGCACATTCTAGGATTTCAGAAATATCAAAGTTGCGGGTGGTTGTTTCATTTTTTTTTTTTTTTGGGGGTGCAACGAATGTACACATGGCAGGCAAACATGAGTGTCTTTAAATCCAACATGGCATCTCCAAGATGAGCTAAACTTCACACCCCTCTGATCCATTATTGATGCAGCTGTCCACCGATAGCAGGGGGGGAGGGGGGTAGGGAAGGACACCAGCCGTAGAAGTGAAAAATGTTCGATGGGGAAATTGAATGGAGGGTTGGCAGAAACAGTGGGGTGCGCGAAGGTTCAAAGTGGTGGGGTGGGTGAAGGGAAGTAGTAGGGTGGGTGAAGGGATGGCCGGGAGAGGGGTGAATGGTGGGATGGGATAGGGGGAAAGGGAAGGGATGGGAGAAAGGGAAAGGAAGGGTTTAGGAATCGGGGGATGCCTTGAAAGGACAAGGGTAGGGTAAAGGGTGGATGGTGGGGGAAGGAGGGACGGACACCGATGGAAGGAGGGACGGGGACGGGGGGAAGGTTTGAACGGTAACGGGGGAAAGGAGGGACGGCGGGGTTGGGGGAGAGGAGGATTGGTGGTGGAGAGACGGTGGGAGCGAGCCGCTTGCTACCGTCGCGCCCAATCCCGCCTCCTGGGAAGGGCAAGAGGCTAAGGTATCGACGGACAAGGGGAGTTCGGGAATGGGGAGGCGTGAAACCGAAGGTGTGGCATAGGAGGATGTGCCATGGGGGATGGTGGCAGGGGGGAATGCCCTGGAACAAACAATCTCTCACGCTTGAACTAGGACAGGAATGGGATAGGACAGGGGGAAGGAGAAAGCGACAGGGGGAATGGGATAGGACAGGGGAGGGACAGGAGAGGAGGGAAAGGGATGGCCATCAGAAGGGTGAATGGTGGGATGGGATAGTGGGAACGGGAAGGGATGTGAGAGAGGAAAAGGAAGGGTTCAGGAAAGGGGGAAATGAGCAGGAAAAGCAGCGACGGTAGTGGGGGAAAAGGGACGAATGGGGGCAAGGGGACGGATGAGAGCAGGGGGGAGCAGTGGGTTGGGAGAGGGGAAAGGAGGGAGGGAGAAGAAGGGGAGGAAAGGATAGGGGGACAGGGCAGAAAGAACAGGGGGGAGGATTAAGCATCAGGAGGAACGAAAACGATGAAAGGGAGGGAAGGACTAAGGGGAAAGGGAGAGAATGACAGGGGGAAAGGGTGGGAAGGACATGGAGGAAAGGAGGGAAGGACAGGGGGGAAGGGATAGAAGGAGTGGGGGAAAGGGAAAGAAGGACAGGGGCCTATAGCATCGATCGCTGCTCTTCTCACCCTTTCCCCCTGTCCTCCTCTCCCATTCCGGCCCTGTCTGCTCGCTACCCTTGCCTTCGCCGCATCGCTACCAATATCGCTCGCTAAAGCCGCTTGCGAGGTTTGGACGCGAGATGCTTCGCCACCGTCGGAATAGATGCTTCGCCACCGTCGGCACAGATGCTTCGCCCCGCTGCTCGCTAACGACACCCTGCTGCACGCTGCTCGCTGCCATCGCAACCCTGCTCGCTACCGTCGCCGCTCTGCTCGCTATCGTCGCCCCGCTGCTGGCTACCGTCGCACCCAATCCTGCCTGTCGCCATCGTCGCTGCTTGCCACCGCCGATTCGTGAGAAATAGAGGGACGGGAGAGGGAAAACTGAACGACGACAGCGGAGGAAATCTAGCGCAATGCGCTACGGGTACGACTGCCGTGGTGTTTTTTGAGGTACGAAATAGCGCAGATATTCGAGCGCACACTAAAAGGCGAAGAAGAGAGATATATATGAGGCGAATGGCTCTCAGTAGCCCTACGGGAAGGCACTTCAAGTTAGTAGTAACCTAGCCTAGCGCGAGAGATTGCCGTGTTTGAGTAGTGTTGAGTTCAAGTTTCAAGTTTCAAGTTTGATGCCTGGCCCCCCCTTCATGCTGTTGTGCGGTGCTTTTCCGCAAGCCCTCCCCAGCTTCCCCCCCACTCATCATGCTGCGAGGCACTTTTCCGCACGACCTTCCCCCGCTCTCAGAATGCTCTGCCTGCTCGACTTCCAGTGTATACTGGGTAACGCGCCCTTCAAGCTATAATACTTTGAACTGGCGCAGAGATATCTGCACCGCGGCTTTAACGGACTGTACCCCTGAAACCAGACCATGCAAGGATATTTCGTAGCGTAGCGTTCGTGAAGAACTTGGAAAATTGGGTGGAGGCATGGGCCTAAAGCCTGTGGTGCATTTAATGAAGATCATGACTTGTTGTGGCTTGTTGTCAAGTCATCCTCTCACATGCCTGAACAGTATCTCTGAAGCAGCAGATTTGATTTTGACGATAGCACTGTAGTAAAAAGTTTTGCTCAGGCTTGTACAACACCACACTCTCTCTGGGAGGGAAACTAGTTGAGCTTCAGTGTCCTGTTACCAGTCTCCATCTGTTTTCTACGTGCCGATTGTAAGTTCGACATGCGAAAGTATGAGTTTCAGAAAAGAAGATTTGGGCTGTGAAATAAAAATATGCGCTGGTGGGTCGTTGTGTGTCTGTTGTGCTGGCGGCACAGCCGCCTTGAAAAATCCACTTCAGGCCGCGGATCTTGAGGCAGCTGAGGGCGCACTGGCCTGACTTTTGCACACGACAACGTGGTGATTGAGGTGTACAGGCTCAAAGAATCACCCCACATCTTGCATTCAGCTTCTAGGATTTTCACCAATAGTAAGTCGGACATTGCGGTCACAAATGATCACCGCACATGAAGGCCCGCTCTTGAAACACAGTTCCCAAACATGACACGCACTGACTGACCCCAGAGACTTGAGGTTGTGGCGCTGCTTGCCTGACGTTACGAACCTGCATTCGCACCTCCGAGTGAAATTGACCCGTACTTGCACCTGCATCCTTCCTGAAAAACACCCTCCACTCCGTGGTGTTTCCACCTCCCTGTCCAGCACAGCATCAGCGATACAGTGTACTTGAGACTTGTGGTTCGCATTGTACACATGATGCCCGCGAAACGGCCCACTCTCAACACGGCCAGAGACAACCGACAGGAGCAGCGGTCAACATTCACAGCCAATGGCCCACAGCCTACACGCCCACGACAAACACCCCAAAACTTTGACCGCAAATAAGTTAGCCAAATTTCCCATGCAAAACATTCGAGGCTACCCGTAAATTTGGAACCGTAGCTCAAATTGTAACCACACTCCTACGAACAGGCCCAATTTGCCCCTGACTGACGCGAGTGCGAGACAGGAGCAAAATGAAAGATGGGGAAGGGAAGTGAAAGGGGCATCATGTGTATCCATTCACACCTCACTTCCAGGCTATCGTTGCAATTATGAGTTCACGCTAGCCCACGTCCGAATTCTCCGAAAACCCCGGTTTCTGACGTCAACGATGACGGAACGATTCTCTTTTTCATAGCCACCTGATGCAATGAATGAGATCCTTTCAGCAACACGTTGCCATCTGCCCTTTCCTCCCCGGCTGACCGGACCTCCCCCATACCGCCACACTTTTTACTGCTAATGAATCTGATGCGCCAGACCAAGCGCTGTGGACGCACTGTCCTACACAATATTCTGCCCCCACAATTCCCCCCACCCGCCTCCCCTGGCCCAGGAAACGCGGTTTCGGCCTAGCCTACTCGCCGCTTCTGACCCTTTTCCTTTCCGCGCCATCCACAGCCACACCCCAATGCGCCTCCCGACAAATCACCTCTCTCTGGAGCCATGCTCGTCCAGAGATCGGCACCATGGACGGAATCGACGCGTCAGCTCCGCCAAGAAGCGCAACCCGCGAGTCTATCCTCCCCTCCCATCCCAACTGGACATACAAAACGAACCCCGCACCTCCACATTCAAACCAGCCCAGCCATATTGTCCAGTGGACACCTGAGTTGAAGTCGCAAGACCTACAGCTTCCATAACAGCTAGAGACAATCTCTTCTGAGCAGAGAGACAGTCCATTCTTGAGCTACTACTGCACGTGGCCAGCTTGTTGAAACCCGTTTCTTGACATCCCGTCCTCCAACTACTGATTGACTTCTTTTTCTCAAGGACGAACCCAGCTCTCCTCGCTTCTGCCTAGTACGAAACCAGTTTTCCCTGTCCTCGAACGTCACCAATTTCAGTCGCATTTTCACGTTTTTCCCACACAACATTCATCAGCGGCCATGGCCTCGACTCCTATAATTCGTCCGCGTCCCACAGCCGAGCTCTTCGCACGCTACGCCTTCACAGAGACAATCGGCCAGGGCCATTTCGGGAAGGTATGGCGCTGCCTCGACCGCACGACGGGCGAGGCGCTCGCGTGCAAGCAAGTGCGCAAGACCGGGCTTTCCGATAACGACTTAGCCGACCTCGAGCGCGAAATTTCCGCAATGCAGCTGCTGCAGGGCCACCGCCACGTCCTCGCTCTGCGCGGACTTTTCGAGGATGATAATAACGTGTACATGATCACCGACCTGTGCACCGGGGGCGATATGTTCGATTTGATCGCGCGCACGGGCGGCCTCGACGAAGACACCGCGGCGCGGCTTTTCGCGCAAATCGCACAGGGCGTGCGATGGTGCCACGTGCACCGCGTCGTGCATCGCGACATCAAGCCCGAAAACATCCTCCTCGCTAAATCCCCCTCGTCATCGTCTCAACCCGCCGCCTCCAATAACACCACCTCTAAAAGCGCCTCCGCCGCCGCAGCTGACGGGCTCGACGCGTGCCTCGCGGATTTGGCGACAGCCGTACGATTTCAGCGCTGACATCTGGTCGCTCGGCGTGCTCCTCTACTCCATGCTCGCCGCTGGTTGGCCCTCGTTCCCCAACAACCGCCGCCAACTGCGCCCAGCCGTCGATTTCGCCGACGCGCCGTGGCAGACGATCTCTCGCAAGGCGAAAGATCTTATCCGTCGGATGCTCACCCAAGACCAGTTCGAACGGCTGGATATCCACGGCGTGCTGCAGCACCCGTGGCTCGCGTCGCGCCTCGCCGCCATCAGCCAGAAGCGCAGATCCACCGCCGCATCCCCCGCCACAAAAGCCGCCGTCCCCGCTGCCGTTCCGGCGCCGCAGAAAACGGCGCAAAAGCCCCCGCACCAGCCGCGAGAGGTGGAGCGCGAAGCGCGGGAGGAGTTGAAGCAGCTGAAGCAGCACCACAGGGCGTTGTGCTCCTTTGATTCGGACAATTCTGTCGACTTCGATAACCACGAATCGCTGCTACCCGCTCTCCTCCCCGTGCCGACCGACGCAAGCTTTGCCAGGGAGTCGTGCGGAAATGCCGCTGAGGAGTGCGACGCGCGGAATTCTAAATTGCGCCTTCCGCTCGCCTCCGCCGCACCTGTCCGCAGAGCCGGCAACAACAGTCGTGAGAGCAGCGCGTCTAGCTTCGACTTCGTTCCGTCGCATTCGTCGTTCTCGACTACGTCGTCCGCATCGTCCGCGTCGTCCGTGGCGGAGATCGCGCGAACTACGGGTGCCGCGACGTCCAAGAATGTCCCAGCCTCCCACGCTTCCGGCATCGACATTCTGGCGGCCTAAATGCTTTGAATTACTTTTGATACTTTAGATCCACACAAAATTTCCTTTGTATATTTTAATATTCATATTCATTCTTTGTTAATAATGCTGCAAGCAAGGCAAAACGCTTTACTTCATTTGTAAGGAAAATCCCTTTTCCTTACTTCGAGTCCCTACTCAGCGCGTACACCACTGTTCCCGCCAGCAGCACCCAACAGTAATCCGTTACCACTCGCGACATTCGCTTCGACACCATTCCCGCCACCGTTCACGACGCGACCCAACCTCACGGTTCGGTTGGTAACCCGCGCTCCGGACCTCCGCCTCGACATCTCCCAACCTCGGCACTAGGCCCGTCGCGCACCCCACTTTTCACACATTACCGTTACCACTGTAGTTTCGCTATATATTCTTCGCTCATGCCTTCGCTCATTGTACTCTTGCTTCGATAGTGCAATTCTCGCTCGTTCACTCAATTGCACTCGTAACACTTGGTATTCAGAGCCTACGATCTCTTCTCGGACCGCACCCACACCTTCGCTTCCCCACTATCTCAATTTTTGGGGGGGGTAGACGTCTCTCAGCGAACAAGCACCGCCGCTCGAAGTGCTCTCTCGTAAGCACGCACGGCCACGACAGAGGCTCCCGCTGAGTTTGCCCGACACCCCCGCCATGGCCGACATTAATCTTGCGACATTGACGCAGGAGCAGCTCGACCGTCTCGTGCGTCAACTCGAAGATTCGGCACTCGAAATCGCGACACTCACGGCGGAACGTGACTCCGCCCGCCAGCAATCAACGGTGAATGCACCAGCTCCATCACAAGCACCCGCAAATGCACCTGCGCAATCCGAAGAACCAATCGTCATCTCATCCGGCACACCGACGCAAAACGACAGCGTGGGACAGCGCTCAGGCGCAGCCAGTGATGGCGCCGCTCAATCGATTCCTGGCATGGAGAGAAATCGGGCCGCGCCAAGCCCGCGTGGGCCTCGCGAAGCTCGTCGGCACGTGGAGTTTGCAGCCACAAGTGGTAACCACGACATCATGGCACCAATGCCACTCAAGCCGCAGCGCCCGCCCTGTTTCGATCCGAGCCAACGTGGGGGTCCGACAGTTCAATCGTGGGTTTTCACGATGAACGTCTTCTTCGACGCGAACTACGTCGAGTCGGACGCAGCGAAGATCAGATACGCCGTCTCGCTGCTGAGGGGCCCCGCCATGGACTGGTGGCGAGTCATCGTGACGTCGCCACGCGCCTACGAGCCACCGTCGCAAGAGGAAGGGCCCACGGGCCCAGCTGTCACCTGGAGTTCATTCTGCGAAACCGCCCAATACAGCACGTGGGATGCGTGGTGCGCAGGGCTTCGGGTGCGCTTCGAGCCGATCGCGGCTTCTATTTCGGCGCGTCAGAAACTGCGTACTTGGCGGCAGCTCGGATCGGTCCAAGACTACACGAGCGGTTTTCTCGCATTATGCGAGCAAGTCGGCTATATGCACGAAGCGGAGCGGGTGGACCGTTACGTCGGAGGGCTGAAGCCGGACATCTCGCACGAAATCATGCTACGCGGACTCTCGAATTTCAACGAGATTCTCGCGCTCGCCGAGAAAATCGACATTTTACGCCGCCCGAGACCGGGGTCCTACTACGGACATCGCCCTCGGGGACCAATCGAGCACGCCACTGTACACGGTGTTGCGACGAACGCAGCTGCCGCGCCGTTTAAGGGGCGCTGCTTCGCTTGCAATAGGCCGGGCCATCGTAAGAGTGAGTGCCCAGAGGAGCTGAGGCGCCGCGGAGCAGAGCAAGGGAGGGAGTCTCTAAGGCAGGGAAACACCAGCAGTCAGTAGGAATCGGGCCAACTACTGACGAGACTGCCTGCTCGCCCAACCACACCGACCCTCACCGAGTCACAGTACCGATTCACGCTATCGATCGGGCTCGGATGAATAAGGAGGGTACAGCGACGGATTGCCCAGTACTGATTCACGGGAAAGTACAGGGAGCAGCAGTGAAGATCTTTATAGACGGAGGAGCAAGCCACAGCTTAGTTAATACCGCAACCGCACGGAAGCTGCAACTGACACTTAGTCGGTGTTTACCGGAAATAGATGCACGCTTAGTGGACGGAACGCCGCTGGCCATACGGGAGAAGGTGGAGAGAGTAAAGGTCCGCTGCGGGGGGAACTTTGGGTTTACACAGGAAATGCTCGCGACGACATTGGATGGGCACGACATTTTACTGGGACGTGATTGGCTGCGACGGTATAACCCGCGAAATGACTGGACGACGAGTAGCTGTACTGTGCGAAGTAGCGGTAACTGGGTCGTGCTACCTCGCTGGCAGTCGCCCGAGTCTTCAACGGTCCACGTCAACGCCATCACGATGAAACGGGCTGTCGCCGCTGGAGCTGACGTGTACGCAGTGGATATAGCATTGGTAGGAGAAGCAGAGCAGCAGAGCGATTTTCAGAAACTGTTGGCAGCGGTACCGCCCGAACTACAGGAACTGTTGAAACGGTACCCGGGGATTTTTCCGGACGATTTACCAGAAGGACTGCCACCTCAGCGAGCACACGACCACCGCATAGAGTTAGAACCCGGGGCACAGCCAACCGTACAGCGACTGTTCCGACTGACACAGCCCGAGCTCGATGAGCTGAGGAAGCAGTTAGACTACTTGTTAGAGAAAAAATTCATCCGACCGAGCTCGTCACCGTTCGCCGCACCGATACTGTTCACACCGAAAAAAGACGGGGGGTTTCGCATGTGCATCGATTACAGAGCACTGAACCGGGTAACAGTCAAGTCGCGATACCCCATTCCCCGCGCTGACGAACTGATCGACCAGCTGCGAACATCACGGGTTTTTTCGAAAATAGATTTACGGGGAGGTTACCACCAGATTCGGGTCGAACCATCGGACTGCGTAAAAACAACATTTAGAACTAGGTATGGGTTATTCGAGTACACCGTGATGCCATTCGGGCTGACCAACGCACCGGCGACTTTCCAGATGACCATGAACGAGGCGTTTAGGCCGCTCTTAGATAAATGCGTGATAGTTTACCTCGACGACATCCTAGTTTACAGTCGGGATAAGCAGCAGCACTTAGCAGATCTGGAAGCAGTATTTAAGGTTTTAGACGAGCACAGATTACTGACCAAGGGTTCCAAGTGCGAGTTCTTCCAGGATAGGTTAGAATTTTTGGGGCACGTTATTTCGGAGGCTGGAGTTGAAATTGACCCCAAGAAGCTGGACACGGTAAAAGCGTGGCACCCCCCGACGAACATCACGGAGCTGTAAAGTTTTTTAGGGTTCGTTAATTATGTGCGTCGGTTCGTCCCCGATATGGCACGGTTAACTGCCCCACTGACGGATTTACTACGGAAGGGGGTCACTTTTACGTGGGGGGAGAAAGAGCACGCTGCCTTCTCTGCCCTGAAACATGTTCTCTGCTCACCACCCGTACTGCGCATCGCTGACCCACACCGCCCATTCGAAGTAGTTACAGACGCAAGCGACATCGCCATTGGAGCCATACTGCTACAGGATTTCGGCAACGGTTTACAGCCCATCGCATACGAGTCACGAAAACTGCATCCGCCCGAGAAAAATTACCCGATACACGACCGCGAAATGCTCGCGATCGTGCATGCATTCAAGGTCTGGCGCTGTTACTTGACCGGCGCAGACGTGACAGTACGGACAGACCACCGATCCCTACAGTACCTCCGCGCACAGCCCCACCTCAACCCACGACAGATCCGCTGGCTCGATTTCCTCGAGTCAAACTTCCACTACACGGTCACCTATAAAAAGGGAGCATCCAATATCGCTGACGCACTGACCCGCCCCACTGCCCAAATCCACGCGATACTACTCGCCCAGACCAGCCCGCTACTGACAGGACTATTTACCCACGGGTACCAAACGGACCCATTCTTTACAGGAGGAAATTCGCAGCAGTTCGCAGCAGCCAAGGGAGTCTATTACGTAAAAGCTGGGACCGACCGCATCTGGGTAGCAGGGTACACATTGCTACGGGAACTACTGTTACAGGAGGCACACGACGGAGTTACCTCGGGACATTTCGGGGTAGAAAAAACACGGCAGCAGCTGCAGCGGTATTATTACTGGCCCGAAATGTTGACCGACGTTCAACGACACGTGGCATCGTGTCCCACTTGCCAGATCATGAAGTCATCACGGAAGCGGCCGGCAGGACAGTTGCAGCCGATACCACCCCCAGAGCGTGCTTGGCAGCAGGTGACGATGGACTTCGTCACGGGGTTACCGGCCGGAGCGAGTGGGAATGACGCAATCCTGGTCGTCGTCGATCGACTGACGAAAATGGCACACTTCGCAGCCTGCAAAAAATCAATCACAGCCGAAGAAACAGCCCGCCTCTTCATCTCTACCGTCGTTCGATTACACGGGATACCAGCATCGATCATCAGCGACAGAGACACGAAATTCACCAGCAACTTATGGCGGAACCTGTGGCAGCAGTTCGGCACGCGACTACAGTTTAGTTCATCATACCACCCCGAAACCGACGGACAGACAGAACGGACAAATCAGACCATGGAACAGCTCATCCGGGCCACGTGCGACGACCCGACCACGTGGGAACAGCAACTGCCACTCATCGAATTCGCGTACAACAACTCGCCATCTGCCACGACCCAACAGTCACCATTTTACCTGAACTACGGACAAGACCCCACAGTACCCATGACCCCGAACCCCGACAACCCAGTCCTACGCGCGCAACAGTTCGCAGAAATACTGCAAGCAGCACGGACCCGAGCAGCAGAAGCAAAAAAAAAATCAAACATCATCGCAAAACGCAACGCTGACCGCCACCGCCGACCTGTCACTTACCAGCCAGACGACCTAGTTTTACTCGACACTCAAAACCTCCGCCTGCCCATCACCCCAAAACTCCGCCCCCGATATTGCGGGCCATTTTGCATCAGCCACATGATCACACCCGTCACCGCCCATCTCCTCCTC